CACCTGCAAAGTCTACAAGACTGCCTCAGGCGAAGTGGTCAAGGACCTTGGCAAGATCGATGCCATCGTGACCATCGGCATCGGCCAGAACTCCCTCAATGGACGTTGCTGTTTCCGGGTGATGGCGGTTGCAAAACCGCTGCTCTCCGCGGGGGCCCTTATGAGCAAGGGCTGGTGCATTCAGATGCACGGATCTGGTGGACAGATCTCCCGAGACGGGACTAAGATTCCGATCTCGTTCAGCAACGGCGTCTGTTCTGCGCCGCTTGCATTCCACCCTTTCGTCCGGCACCGCAATGGGTAAGTCCGGTAGTGGACGAGCAGGCCGAAGAGGCCGAGCCAGGCGACGAAGTGCCGCCTGAGCTCAAAATCCATGCTCCCATTCGCCCGACGCGAAAAGAGTTTGAAGAGCATGCTGTCTCACACTTCCCTTTTAGGTCTTGGTGTGAAGCCTGTGTAAGGGGAAAAGCTAAGGCAAACCCCCACAGGAAGATAGACCACACCGATGAGACAACCCCAGTAGTGACTGTAGACTACTGTTTCATGAATTCACGGGCCGATGATGTAGTTTTGGACGAGAAGACTCATGCACCAATTCTTGTTGTCAGAGATCGATGGACGAAGCATCTTTTTGCTCATGTGTTGCCCTACAAAGGTGTGACAAAAGGTCCATATGGATCCAAAGTACTTTTGAACGACATCAAGAAACTAGGATACTCCAAACTGATCATTCGACATGATCCTGAACCTGCTCTCACATCCGTTGTTGAGGCAGTAAAGAATGGGTTTGAAGGAACCCTGATCATCGAGAAGAGCCCGAAAGGAGTCAAAGAATCCAAGGGAGAGATTGAACGAGCAGTTCAAACCTTGGAAGGACAAGCCAGGACTCTTCGAGCCGCAATCGAGTCGAACTATGGTGAGAAACTTCCTGACGATTCACCTGTTTTGACTTGGTTAGTTGAACACGCATCCACAGTCTACAATCTGTTTTTCCGATCCACCGAACTTCAAGACGGAAAGACTCCGTATTCACGACTTCGTGGACGTGAATGGAAAGTAGCAATTCCACCATTTGGTGAGGCCATCGAATACCTCAAGAGAGGCCACAAGTTCGAGGCCCAATGGACCAAAGGAATTTTTCTAGGAGTGAAAGACACCACCACAGAGAAGATAGTAGGAAATTCCACAGGCGTTTTCACAGTGCAATCCATTCGGAGAAAACCAGAAGAAGATCGATATGATTCAGAGTTGCTGAAATCGATCACTGGAATTCCCTGGGATCCTCAAGCAATTCGCGAAGAACCAGCGATTGCAGCCCCAAGGGAACCAATCAGTCCAAGTGGTGAAGCTTTAGTTCAACCACCGGCAATTGATGACAAGAAAAGAAAGCTGAGAAGGCTTTACATCACCAAGAAAGACCTGGAAAAGTTTGGGTATACTGCAGGTTGCCCAGCTTGTGATGCCACACAGATTGGCAAGAGATCTACAGGCATCCATCACACCAACAGGTGTCGAGACAGACTTGAAGAGAGCATCAGAGGAGAAGAAGAAGAGAACCCAAGAGTTGCAAGACATGAAAGCCGAGTTGGAGAGGCAATCACTGGCATGCCACAACCCGTCAGTGGCAAGAGACCTCAAATCCTTCATGGATATGAAAGCAAAAGACCATCGGGAGTTCCCGATTCGTGTCGAGTGTTCGCACGACTTGACGTCGAAGCTTACTGTTTTCAAACCACCATGCCAGGAGGACCTGATTGGTCTACCGTCTGGCACCGAGTCACAAGAAACCATGCAAACAACGCAATCATTGAGAGTGGAGTCATGACAACAGACCTTCCACCAGAGATACTCAATGGAGCATTACCACACAAGATGGACATTGTGACAGAACTTTGGTACGAACCAGAAGCAGCACCACCAACACCAGGCACAGCATCAGCTTCAGCATCAGGTATTCGCAGACCACGCGAACCTGAACCACATGGAGAAAAGAGAGAACACGAAGAACAACATGAACCAGCAGGATCACCCACAGCAAAAGCCAGAGTAGATAGAGACAAGAAGAGAAAGGCAGAAGGCGAACATGAAGATGAAGCCGAGAGAACAAGGGACATCCAAAGCATTGAGATGGCTCTAGAAAGCCTAATCCTAGAAGACAGAGAGAGAGAGTGCTGTCTAGCATCGGCCCAGAGAAACCAGTGTGTGAAGAGAAGATCCCACTGCCAGAAGAAATGGCAGAAGAGGCAAAAGACTGGTGGTACTATGATGACATCAGTGGAAAAGAGCTGCTACCTGAGAAGGTAGAGAAAGCCAGAAAAGATGAAATCGACATTGTCGAATCAATGGGACTTTGGGAAAAGATCCCAAGAAGCAAAGTTCCAAAAGGAACCAAAATCATTGGAACTCGATGGGTAGATGTGAACAAGCAAGATGAAACCAATCCTCTCTACAGAAGTCGATTGGTAGCGCAAGAGATCAAAAGAGGCTCAGGTTTTGACGAATTTTTCGCAGCCATGCCGAGCCTTGCAGCTTTGAAGCTACTGCTAACCATTGCAGTCAGCGACAGCCTTCCATTGGAGAAAGGCGAAAGAAGAAAATCAAAACAATCTTTCCTAGGATTTTTGGATGTGAAGAGAGCTCATTTCTACTCCAAAGCAACAAGAGAACTCTATGTTGAAATTCCATCAGAAGGCAAGAAACCAGAAGATGGAGATGTGGTAGGAAGATTGGTCAGAAGCCTTTACGGCGCCAGAGACGCACCCATGAATTGGGAGCTGACCATTGCAGAGTTTATGAAGAAGCTAGGATTTGTTCAAGGCAAGTCCAATCCATGCATCTACTACCATGCATCCAGAGAACTTCGAACAGAAGTGCATGGAGACGATTTCACGACAGTTGGAAGTTTTGATGATATCAAATGGTTTCACACTTCAGCAGCCAAAGAATGGCAAGTTGTGGAACGAGGCATTCTCGGTCCACCAGGTTCACCAAAGGCAAGCCAACAGATCAGAGTGCTGAATCGCATCATCACCTGGTCAAATGAAGGCATTTGGTGGGAACCAGATCCAAGACATGCAGAGTTGATCATCAAGTGGTTAGGCACTGGTCAACCAGGCAAGGTCAAGACCCCTTTGGCCAAGCCAAGTCAAGAGGAACTCCAACACGAAGAAGTTCCGCTGAGTGCCGAAGATGCAACGATGTATAGATCTATTGCTATGAGAGCCGCGTATTTGGCACAGGATCGACCTGATCTGCAAACTGCAACGCGCTCATTGGCACAAGGTCTACAGAACCCAACATCGAGGCACTGGAATATGCTGAAACGATTGGCTCGATATGTCAGGTATCGACCAAGAGTTGCACAGTTGTTTCCAAATCAAAGCACCTGCAACCCCTTCAACATGTGGTCAGACGCCGACCATGCAGGTTGCATAAGGACACGAAAGAGTGTGTCAGGAGGCGTGCTCATGGCCAACAAATGCTGTCTTACAACATACAGCAAAGGCCAAGGAGTTGTCTCCCTGAGCAGTGGCGAATCCGAGTACTACGGACTTGTTTCAGGAGCATGTCAAATGCTTGGAATCGCATCAACAGCAAGAGACTGGGGATTGTTTCCCAGCAAAGAGGTGACAATGGACGCTTCCGCTGGCATCGCCATGGGAAACCGTCGAGGCTTGGGACGAGCTAAACATGTTGACACTCAGTACCACTGGGTACAAGAGCGTACAGCAAAGAAAGAGTTTCGTCTCAAGAAAGAAGGCACCGACCGAATGTTGGCCGACGTGCTAACGAAAGCTGTCACCGAAGAGAAAATGACTACAGCTATGAAAGGCATGAACTTCCACTACCTGGAAGGTGAGCATGAACTGACTTTGAAAGCGTGAACGGCTTGAGCTAGAGTAGGTACTTCTTCAAGACCAAGATGTACTGAAGGGCTATGGGCTAATTCACTAAAAGTGCTAATCCTGACTCGGTTAACATCTCCCAGAAGTTAAACTCGGGAGGCGTGATCAGATGTAGCACCAGTTACATGTACATGACATAGCTTGTATAGATGTATGTTTCACTGCAGCCGTTTGTTCAAGTTGTGGTTTACTTTTGTGTTCATTTCACTACCAGAGCTCACGCTTGGAGCGGAGCTAAAAGTGTGCCTAAGCTTCTACTACAACCTTTGGGACAGTGACTTGGGGTCACAGAGGGGTCACAGAGTTTAAGAGCCTAAATTCTCCGTTCACTTGGAGTCAGAGGGAACCTTTTGGGCCTTTATGCAAGTTTTTTTGCAGGGGATCACGATCACCCACGGATCTGACTGGTGATCCAAGTTCCGTGCTGATATGCCTGATCAGCCAGATGTACCTGCAATTTGTGTTGTGGCCTTTCATCACGATCCTCTCCTGGAGTCTTGCGGGCTGTTTCCAGGTTTGGTGAGGTCGTGATGCAGTAAAGGGCCAATCAATGCATTCTACGGACAAGTGCTCGTCGACCGCTCCGATTCGTGGAGCATTCTTTTGACCTTTTAGCCTTTCCAGATGGCTGGACAGCTTTACTCAGACAGTCTTTTCACTTAGGCTTCTGCTAGGCATGCGGCGACCTTTGAACGTGCTCTTATCTCGAGTGTGTGCACCTTGGAATCATAGCTATGTTCTTTAAAACACCGTTTGTGGTGTTTTCGTACGAAGTTATGCTTAATGAAAAGCGGGCTTAATCACTCCGGTGTACGTGCGACATGTTCATGGTGGTGATACTTGCCAGTTTTGCACTCCTACTATCGTCCTGCAAGGAAGGCTGGCAGTCATGCACCGTTCTGCACTTTGCATTTGTTGGAGTCAGTTGGAACTGCTGGAACTTGGAAACCTTGAAGTTGAGGGCGCTTGGACATGTTCCTGACCTCTCAGGTGTTCCTTTTGACCAAGGTTTGTTAAGGGCATTCAAGTCGTGCGTGCACCAATGTCTCGTGTGTGTTTGTGCTTTGCTCTTGGGATGTCATTGGTTTTCCTTGGTTTGGCTCAGCGTTGTTGCAATACGACCATCTTGGGGGGGAACATTGCTCCAAAGACGTCAAGGCTCGGGGCAGTTCACCGTTTTGTAACTTCAGTTTGGTCTTGATTTGGAGCTCGGTTCAGTTCGCTGCAACTGCACGAGGCATCATGACGTCGATGAACCTGAACAAGAAGACCATCTCAGACCTAGAGGCCATAACAAATGGACGAAACAAAGTCTTCAGATGCTCTAGAATTGGTGCTCATTACATGGCAGGTCAAAGACAAGCGCGTTTTGATGAGAGTGGATTTCAATGTGCCACCTCCTGAAATCCACGACATTGAAGAGAACTGGTTATGCCTTGTTAAATGTGACCATCACGAGCGATATGTATTAAATATATATATATATATTTTTGAGTTGAGTACACCATACAAATATAATGTTCAGTGCAGATTCTGCGGTGTTTGATTGATTCAAGGCCAATGGACAAAGAAGGCAACATTACAAACACTCAGCGAATTGCCGGGGGACCAAAGAATCAACGGTACTGGAGGAGCCTGTACAAGGTCGCAGTTTACTGCAAAAACACGCATTCAGTTGAAGGCAGACTCCCGACAAAAGCGTAAACTGCAGGTCGGAGCCATCCCTAGCATCAAGATGGCCTTGGACAAGGGTGCCAAGAGCGTCATTCTGATGAGTTCGTGCCTCGAATTTTTTGCCACTACGATCAGAGAAACAGTTGATTTGACATGGCCAAAAGGCCACATGGGAAGACCTGATGGCAAACCCAACACCAAGGACTCCAGAAAGCATATGGAAAGTGGTTAGGGTGCCTAGCAGGTTGTAGCATTTGGAAATGCAGATGCTGCGCAGGATTCACTAAAGCCCGTAGCGAAGAAGCTCGAGGACGCTTCAAAAAGATGAAGTCGCAACTTTTGAATTCAGCCAACATTTGAGGATACTAAGTCACTAAGTTCATTAGATGCCTTGAGGGACTGGTTGCGGACATGATGGAACGAAAGCACATGTGTCAAATTCTTGAAACTCCATTAGTAGCAAGAAGCTACTAGGTTGGAGGCCATCGCTATTAGGTCGGAAGCCATCACTATTAGGTTGGAGGCCATTGCTGTTAGTAACAAGAAGCTACTAGGAACAAAGGCATCTTAATGGTCTGGTCCTTCGTCCACCATGTTGGATGGGCGGCGATAGAGGTATCACAGTGTGGTATCACGCTCAGATCATAGGTTACTGTGGCTCATTTTTGACCTGTACTCTGAAATTCATTTTTTTGGGCCAGCTTTTCTGTCTTGAGTTGATCCAACATGTTACATGTTGAAACAAGCCGGTGCTCGTGGAAGCCTTCCAAAGATTTGCAACACATGTCTAATGTCTCCACAACGTCTTCAAGTTTATGCTCCTCTGCGTAACTGGAAAGGTGCACCAGGTTTACAGCAAACTTCTGACATAGGCAGACTGCTTGATTGATGCTAGCACTACCAGTGAGAAATGGACAAGCCATGACCATTGGCCAGTGACCAACATTTTGCCATGGCGTTTCTACAATGCGTCCTTGCAATTGGGGTGATGCTTCGGTGGCAGCAAGCTGTTACACTAGATTCACTAGATGAACAATAGTGAGACATCAGTTTGAATGCTACTCCCAAAGACCAGGAATGAACATTTCAGATGGCTGGGCCGCTAAGGATGCAGGTTGCCAGCATTTTGCCAAGTCCATTGCGGGAGATCCTCCTCTTCTTTATTTGCCTTGGAGTTTTGTGGGGAGGAGCTTTGGTGGAACAGGAGCAACATAGGGGTGTGCTTGGCTGCCACTGTTTGCAGCGTCTTTTCTCAGCATTCCAACCTTCCACACTGTTCTTTGGTACCAAGATTATGCAAAGTGTAAGGCTTCCACAACTGACTAGCGGTGGCACAGTTGACCAGAGGTTTCTTCATCCTTCTTGCAGTTGCAGGCCTCCAAGCTGCCGTCTGATGGCCCTGAGCCGCCTTCTGGTTGGTCCTGGAAACTTCGGGGCAAAGCCAAAAGAGCCGACGGGGAGGAGGAGGCGTGTTCGACAGCCCAGACTCATCATTCAGTCTTGATGCGAAGTGCCAAGATGTACTGAACTTGTGTACTTTCATCATGTCTTTCCTCATGTACTGAGTGTCAGGAAGCGGATGAAACAGATAGTTTTGAACCAGAAGTGCTGATGCTTGCATCGAAGACTAAGAAAGCGAAGAAGTCATTGGGAGCACCTGGGATAGAAAATACACCGTGCGAGTCTGGCTCGGAACCACATAGTGACCTTATTTGACCTCGCTCTTTGAGTAGCAGACCTGAGGTTGCCTTGGTGCCTGGCAATCCAGGAGTTCCGCACTACTACTGCGAGTTCGGTGAGGAGATACAAAAGGCTTTTGACACCCAAGGTCTTGCATCTCCCACGAGGCTTTTGCTGAAAGTGTCAGCTTTTTCCTGTAGTTTCATGCTGTCAAACAAGTGAGCGAGGACCACGGGGGCTTCTGTCCCGCAATCCTTCCGACCAGCAAATTTACCACCTCCACTGCCGAGTCCCCCCCCAATTTTCACTGTTTGCTCCATAGGCTACATGTGACTTCTCTCTATTGTCTCCATCCAAAGTATAGTACAGCAGAACAGAGTCCAGAATAGGCAAAGAGTTGAGGAAGGTAGCACGCCCGATTTATGCAGAGAGCACTGTAGCTTGCTGTACACTGTCTCTCTCTCTCTCTCTATACCACATGTACTGTTCTGCATGCCATGCACGATTCCTTCCACTCCCCTTTGCTCTACTCCACTCTCGTTCTGGGTCAATTTGCAGTCATTACTCCTTGCGCCTGCATTGAAGGCTGGTTGCTTTTAGTTTGCATCTCAGGATTTACTGCGTTGGCTACAAGAACTTTCCCACATGTGCCGAGGGCGCCGCAGTGAGGCAGAAGTCCTCCCCTGCGTCCCTTGAACAGGACAGTCTAGTAACGTCCTTGCTCCTAGTAGCGATGCCCTTTGCTCCTAGTAGCGTCCTAGCTCTTAGTGGTAAGGCCAGGAGCCCCTAGTAGCGTCCTTGTTCCTAGTAGCGACGCCTAAAGAGGATTTCCAAGCCACACATTGCACCATGAAAGTGTTTGATCGATCCTTATTCAGTGATCTGAAGGAGTCCACAGCGATTGGGGAAGTCCTTGTCCAGCTGCAGGCTCGAGTATGCTCCATTCCACAGCTTCCATTGAAGTTTTTCTCTTTTTTTTTCACAGGACATTTTTAAACATTCTTTGCCTTTCCACAGGAGCTGCACCCTGATGGTTTTGTCATCCTTGGCCACTCTATTGGCGCCTGGATTGTCCTTCAGACTTTGAAGCTGGTGAATGACAGCGCTTCCCCGGTTCCCTTGGCAGTCCTTGCAATGCCGTGCCCTTGTCGAAATTTCAGGCTTTGGGGTTTCCGGCATGTTCTCAAGACTAGTGAATATAAATGGCATGTTTATTCTCAAGCTTGCAAGGAGCAAGACACTTTAGTTCTATTATGAGCTGGAATTTAACTGGTTTTTTGCGATTGCTTCGAGGTATTTGGAGTATCGTCCTTTTAGCATGCAGACCTTGATGCGGGTTCCGCTCTCCCTTGCTCGCTTGGTGGCGCTCACTGCCACTGCTTTGCCTTCGAGGCTGAAGGCACTTCTGGCTTTGCCGCTAAGCCACAACCCCAGAGGCCCGCACACTTGAACGTTTTCATTTCTTACAAAGCTATATTCCAAGAAGATTATATCAAAAAGAGCTAACCACAACAATACTGCTTGCTTGCGATGGTGAAACTTCAGATTGAGAGAGTGAAAGTAGGTAAGAAGAACACAAAAGAAGAACAGTCCTACCTACCTTTATTTCTTTTCCTTTTTGTTTTCTTCTCTTTAGAATTCTCAGGCAGCTTGGCATATGACGTGACCTTGAAGACTTTTCTGTGTCAGCCTCACCAGCTCTCTGCTGTTGTTGGCCTCTACCACACAGAGTGCAGTCGGCTTGATCCTGCCAAGCAAGGTGGGGTCGCTTCTCCGGTCAATGTTCGAATTGCCTGATTTGCGAGTGACATTTATGGGCCCCTAGCATTTCCGCCTTGCCTGTAAGGCCAAGGCTTCAGTGAGTGCAAGTCCATTCTGAGCATGGAAGATCGCCCACCGGTTCTTGCTCTCTTCACAAAGGCCAAGCAGTGAACACTAAGCTTCAAAGTGTCAGCATGGACTCAGTTGACAGCTGATTTTTAAGTTTGACAGCAGTTGGCATCAGGGTGACATGTGGGCGCCCATGGAGCACTTTTACAAGCTGAAAGGCCGATGTTGTCCTGTGTGGGCCCGCATTTACAGTGATTCAATGTCAAGCGAGGCCTCTTGTCTGATAGAGATGAGATCGTAGATTTGTCAGCAGACCCCACGATGTGACTTGGAGATGATAAGTGCAACTGCTCCAATCACAATTTGCAGCCTGGTTATTGATGCTACTCGTACATTGAGAAGGGCACTCTTGCAAGGGCACTCTTGCAAAGCTGCTAAACCTCTTGAATTGCATGGTTTGAACGGATTGAACCAGCCAGAACAAAGTCCTGCAAACATCCGAGGAAAGGTCTCAAAGCTCCTTCCCATTCCTTCGTGCTTTCTCGGCAGCACTGCCAAAGCATCGCCGGTCTTGTAGCAGCTTCGATGGCGAAGCGCTGATCGGGACAAAGAATCCCAGCGTTTGCTTAGTCAAAGTTATTCTCCATTATCGTACATTTGCTTTCAATTGTTTCAGGCCTTGGTCCCCTTTGGATCAAGCCCAATTTGTAGTTTGTAGACACATCGATTTCTGTGATCAAAAATGCGTGACCCGATTGACTGATCAAAGGGAAGCTAAGTCTTGTATATTCCTTTGTTAGCAGTGTTCTTCTCTTGCCGTAGGAGCTCATGGGCAAGACAGTGACCTTCCTGGAGGACTGCGTTGGGGAGAAGGCAGCTTCCTCAAGTCAGAATCATGTGAAAGCCCCCTTCCGCCACAAAAATTAATTTTCTCCATGGCCCATGGCGAAAGGCATCCAAAGGCCAGGGTTGCTCGGGAAGTGTCATTGGCAACGTCCATAGATAGATCCCGAATATATAAATGGGATGGGAACGACTCACAATGCAGCTCTGAAGGGTATGCACTTCTGTATATTTTTTGGGGCACTATGCATACATACACACAACGGCGTGCTGCATGTCACTCCACCTCAAATGTGTTGTAAAAGTGGCACTCCAGCTGCAGCCATCACACCTGTGTGATATTGAAGAGCGTGGCTTTCCCTTGCACCCACAAGTTTGGCCTTGGAAACTGCACAGTATAATTTGGAGGCCATTTAGGTTGGAGGACATCGCTATTAGGTTGGAGGCCATTGCTATTAGTTTGGCTTGTCTTCAGACTTTGTGCCCTCATGCACTGTGTTTTCTCCAATCAGAAGTCTTGCGGCACTTAGGTAGAGGCGGCCTGTGCAGATCCAGCACCTGGCTCCGCCCGTGCCCAAGAGAAAGAGGCTTGAAAAGACCGGGAGGCAAGCGTGCTACTGCAATGTTTTCTACAACGGCAGGTTGGGCCCGCTTGGGCTTCAGATGATTAAGCACACCTGAGAGACTAGTTGTACTAAGCAGTCTGACTGGGTTGCATTTTGAATCCTTGGAGATCCTTGGAGATCCTTGGACCATTGGAGATTCGATTCAGTATATATATATATATATACTGTGTCCGCAGCATTTTGGTTTCAAGGGTTGAGGAACTCTGCGCAGGTCTCGTTTCGTTGAGCAAAAGGTTGCTTTTCGATCCCTTGGACTTTGTAACTTGCTTTGCCGAGAACTCAGATTTTTTCGTAGGAACAAGGACGCTACTAGGGGCTCCTGGCCTTACTACTAGGAACAAGGACGCCTTTTTGTGGGTTGCAGTCAGACTGTGAGGACAACATGGCGCTCAACCTGCCACTGGCTGCCTGACCCTCAGAGGAGTTGACCGATCAGGCATGAGGAACATTTGAGTGGCCCGCTTGTCCAAGGGAGGGCACTGACATTGAATACATGTGGACTCGTTGTCATTTCCCTCATTCAACTTCCGCCAAGGACTCATTCCACACTGCTTTGAAGCCTTCTGAGTCTCCCAGAGACAAGCTCAGTGACAATGTATATGTTTCATCAGCCTTCTCCATGAAGATCCAGTGAAGCTTCCCCAAATACCTAGGAACAGGCCAAGCTTTGGAGTTGTTTGGTGGATCTCCGAAACGTCAGCTAAGGAGATCATGACAGCACAGCATTTCCCAGTGAAGCCAGTGCCTCAAGTTTTATACAGATTGCTTTTGCATTGCTTTGAGATTTGCGTTCTTTTGGCTCTGACAGTAAATGTGGATATTGGCATGTCGTGGATCCGTGTGCCAGGCGGCTTCTCGTGTTTGGACGCGCCAAGCCTCGCCAGATACAGATGTGACGCCTGTGGGACGTACTGCCGACTTCCAGCAGTTGAAGGCTGAATGCCCTGGTTTCAAGTCCGTTTCGAACGTTTTGATTGCAACACATCACCAGATGCACCAGATCCACTAAATCAACACCAAGCTAAGTTAATCCAGGCGGCCGTCCTTCGGGCGAAACTGGAGCGCTGCCAAGTTGGCGAGGAAGGAGACCTGGCACGCAATGAAAGGCAATAGAGCTTGCGATGCAAAGACATTGGACGTAGATTGTAAAGTAGGGACAACAGAAACACATATATAGATTGTAAAGTAGTGCCAGTGGGTGCTTCAAGGAACAGACTTGACAGAACTTTACTCGATGCGTTTGTTGAGGGAAGTCGTTTCTCTCTGGATGGCGACTTTGAATCTTAAGGCAGTCCTGTGCCAGGTGAAGAGGACGAGGTGCATCGACTATTGATTTATTTTGAGCCGGGGTAGGCCGTAAAGAGGCTGAGTAGCTGTAGCTAGCTAGTGGTAAGGGGTAAGTGGTAGCAACGAAGCTACTATCTTGGACGCAGAGGAGTTCAGGCTTCTTCCAGAAAGCTCCCTGTCCCTGAGGGTAGGGGGGCTTCCTTGAAGAACTCCTCGCAAGATTGATTGGGTCGATTTTTTGGGATGTACCTTTTTTACTAGTAGCTTCTAGCTACTAGTAGCGCCAGGAGCTACTGGTAGCTTCTTGTTACTAGTAGTAAGGTGCCTTGTTACTAGTAGCGTCTAAGCCGATTGTCTTCAATGCAAGATCCACATTGAGTGAGAATGACTTCCAACTGCCCGAGTCTGATGGATGTAGGAGGAGTCGGCCGTTGCTATCCATCGTATTGCTATGGCAGCTCGGCGGTATGCCACTGGCTCAGTGAGACTTGACTAAAAGAATATCGACGTGGATGACAAGGTGATTGGACAATTGACACGCGCGCAAGATTGTTCTCGGCCTTGAAACAGTTGATGACATCCTTTGGCGGTTTGATTGTGTTCAAAAGACATGTGGTTCAGCATTTTGGCCTGAATGGTGTGATGCCGCAAGGTTGTCCACTGAAACATATGAAAACAAGAACTTCATTTGGTCATTCGGTGTTGCAGATAAGGTCCAAATCAAGTCGTTCTAGAATTGCTGACTCTTTGAACTTTTTCTTACCCTTCCTGGCCCTTCTCCTCCTTTTTTGGTGGTCTATCCAAGGAGCGATTCAGAAGAAGATGATCCGGATACGGTGCAGAAGCTTTGTTTGGCTGTGCGGCGCCTTGCGCAAAGGCATTGATCTTGAGTCCCGACCCGCCATGGATGACTCTATTTGTTTTCCTAGGGGGCAGGGGATAGGACTGGATAGGACCGGATAGGAGAAGAACACTGATTGGTGAAGATCGTGCAGTGTCCAATCTCCATGGGTGAGCATGATATTGTGGGAGCTGCCCATGTCAGCTTATGTTGGTGTTGAATGTGCCCTTTATATACTTCAATCCACTCGCGAGCAATCTTGATGACTTTCTCTTCCTGGGCAGCCCGTGTACCCAGTTTCCACGTCGCCATTTTGAGCTGGACGTGATTGAAGGCTGCCAGATGCTTGCAAGCCTTTTGTTCTAATTTCAATCTCCAGACTAGTATACAGTATATCATGAGTATTTTTGTTGTTTCATATTGTTCTATTGACAAACCTTACTTCATCGCCAACTCTTGCGGTCACACCTGCACAGAAGTTCTGGAGAAGCAAGTGTGCTCAACGTATCTCAACGTTGCATGTTTGAATGGCGACAAGCTGACTAGATTGAAAGCCGCGTGGTATGCCCAAGAGTTTGAACTACGCAAGGCTTCCAATGGTCAATGCACAGTTTCGCCTTGCAAATTTCAAGTTGGAACTTGGCACCTTGGATACCGCAGTCTTGTAAAATCTTGGCAAGGGCATCATCATATCATTTGTTTTGCATTGTGTGTCTTAGACTTTTGGGCTGCTGGGACCAGGGTTGGTGGCTTGGCTTGATGGATAGCGTAAGGTGTAAGGCCTTCTGAAGCCGTACTATCACATTGTATCAAATTGCAGCTTATGCTTGACCAAAATCATGTAACATTCGCATGAATGATTCCACCGCCACCTTTGCCAAATATGCACTCCCCGAACGGGATTGCAATGCCTGGAAACTGGGTGATTGCAGAATTTGATCTATTCCCCTGCCGAAATTGGTGCCAGTTGTGAGGGTTAAGAGCGCTTGCAGCCTGTGCCAGATACAGAGCCATTTGTTGCAACAAGTACAATAATTTAAGCCTGCAAAGCACGTTTCAGCTTCTCAGCACCAGAAGTTTTGAGGAGATACTTTTCTAGTGGACAAATATGCTAAACAGGGCAGTCCAAGCCTGTCCATCAACAATAGATATTTTCAAGATTACTTATACAAAGAGTATCTAGAAATCTAGAATCTAGAAAGCTGATTGGAACGTGTAGTGGACTCAGCGGGACACCAGTCTGCGTAGCCAGACGGTTTGCCAAAGGCGAGGCTCCTTGAGCCTAAAACTTAAACGCTCCAATGGAGCAACCCTTGCGGTGACACAAAGAAGCTGCAAGAAGCCTTTGTCTCCGTTTGTCTCTTCCCTGTACAGAGCAGAGCAGTTGATTTCAATCCTCTCGGGAGTTCAAGGAAGAGAGGTAGTACCAGGTGCTAAGTGTAGTACCAGGTACCAAACACGTGCTTGATTGCAATGGGTGCAGAAAACAGTTTGTCGTGGTGAGAATTATGGCGCCACGTAAATGCCAGATAGTGTTTGCATGTGCCTCCATGATGCAAGAATTTCAGGGCCTATGAACGAGAGGACAACAAGCAGGGACGGAAGTCTAAGTCTAAGGATTAAAAGGACACCCTTCACAGAGGGGTGCAGAAAATAAGCAAAAACAAACCACCCGCCCTTACCTTGCCGGCTCCTTACTGACCTTCCCTCAGGTTTCGTTAGACTCAGACCTTTGACCTTTTAAGAAGACAATGCCTTAGGATGTCTTATATAGGTCTTTGATGCCATTTCTGTTCTTCAAAAATGTAATACAAAAGTACTTATTCCAGTATTTGTTCTATTTCTATCTTTGTTTTCTAGTATTTGTTCTAGATTTCTGTCTAGTTTTGATTTTCTAGTGATATACTATATATTTATATACTTATATTACATATTTAAGCTCTTACTCTTGGTCATTCTGTAAAGCTCTTGCAGCTTCAGGTGATTCTCCTAGAGAACCTTCGCTTCCACATTGAAGAGGAGGCGGCATGGCTTTTTTGGCAGCATCAAAACTAGGTTTCTGGAACATTGCCTACCGGCCCCTTTTCTGTCAGGGCAAGCGGACAGAGAAGGGTGACGATGGTGAGCCTGGTTTGATGAGAGCTTTGCTGGTTGGAATTCGAGCACAACTCCGCATAACATCAGAAAGTACTGAATTTGTTTTCTGCAGACACTGCAGCCTCAAGTTGGTGGACAATTTCAACCAATGAATCCCAAACATCAACAGATCATGGAGCTCTCAGTCTCAGGTGACAAATAACTATGATCTTGAGAAGCAACACACGCACACAAACACATGCAACGCAGCTGCTTGACATGGCGAAGTAGTGTTTCATCATATTTCATGATGCCACTCACGCGCTCTACCTGCCGGCCAAAGGCACCAACTTGGTCGAATTGTTCCTGGGGTGTCAGAGACTTTGTTGTTTTATGATGGTTTGCAGTCTTTTTCTGCAGCTCTACCATAATTACAAGCCCGATAAGACTGCTTTTTGAGTGCAACGCAGTGCAACACTTCATTGTTCCGTTGGGGTTGAGAAGAAGACAGGTTTGGCAAGCTGTTCCTGGTCAGCCTGGTCAGCGTTTGGGTGCTTTGGAGCTCAAGCCTACAGCAGGTATGATCCTCAGAGCTGTTTGGGTAGGCAGAAGACAAAGCGTACTTATGTTGTTTTGTTGTATGTTGTATTACATTATCGTGTTGTCTCCCAGGACTTGAGCACCTCTAGATCTTTGGTCGCACGCATTGTAGCATTCAAAGGCTCAAGTGCCTGCAAAGCAGTCGGGCAGGTGAAGCGACTGTTCCACTGAATCTGCAGACTGAAAGCATCTCAGCGCATTGGTGTGCCGTCCCTACAGTCTTTCAAATGCCTCGCAACGCAGCCCTTACCTTCACTGCCCAGATACTCCTGGCAGTCTTGGCTGTTGCAGTCTGGCAAAGAGCTTGTGGCTATGCGGGGATTGGTACGCGCTTGAAGGATGCGATGCAGTCTGCCATACTTTTCATTGAATCTTCAGAGTATGCCATGATCGCATACATGGCATTCACGGTTGTTGGTGTAGTTGCTTTGGTTCCGACCACTGCAATGGAATTTTCTGGTGGTTTTTTATTTGTTCCGAAGTATGGATTGTTCGGCACCCTGCTCCTGACTTGCATCGCAAAGTTTGTCGCGAATCTCATAGCAATTACTTTGGCCAAATATGTCCTGAGAGACTGGGTCAGAAGGAACTTCGTAGATCGCTCAGAGCTTTTGAGCTTGGTTGCAGAAGCTGCTAAGGATGAACCTTACAAAATGGCATTCTTGGTGAGGGGCTCCTATGCACCACTGAGTGTGAAGAATTATGGCTTAGGTGTCTTGGACATCGGCTACCTCCCCATCATGGCAACTTCTTGTATTTTCTCACCATTCTATGCCATACAAAACATCTACATGGGAAGTGCTTGCAAGGACTTGCAGGAAGTGTTTGCACCTATGAAATCCAAAGAGGAAGCAGGTGGCTGGATGCAGGCTTTCAAGGCTGCGATGCCTGTGGTGCTGAATCTTCTCCTGGTGGTGTTCCTCATTCGTGCGATCAAGGCACAACTGAAGAAATCCCGCAGTGCCATGGAGGCAAAGCTGAAAAGCAAATAACAAGCGGATATATACAACAGTCGTAGCAGCCAAGTCTTGCAAAGCTGAATAATTCGAGTATCGACAGCAAAGCTGAAAAGGCTTTGTACCGAGACTTTGCCACTATTGTACAGTCCGACCCAACAGTGGCTCTGAGCCTTCTTGTACATGAAAACCAGAGGCTCGAATGGAGTGTCTATCCGCAACCAGTGGAGACAGGTTCAGCCAAGAAGCAATGGATTCAATGGATCTTGAACAGGTCTGGGATAGGATCCTCAGAAACTGCAGCTTCATGACGCTGCTCGCTACTCGCATGGGCAAAAAGGAGCAGCTTCATTTCCATGTCAAATGATGAGGGTTCCCCACCAGCATCGAAAAGCTTCATCAGCCTCAATGAAGGTTTCAGTTGATTTGTGGTGGTAAGCGCGGTGGCGGTTGCTTGAGGTGAGGGCCTTTGCTGGGTAGCTGCTCGAACTTTGTGCACTGGGGAATTCATCGAGGTGGAGGAGGCAGTCTGCTCAGAGCTTGCTGTAGCGGCTTTAAACCTGAAAGCTTTTTCCCCCGATATCTGCAAGCTATATGGGTTCTTACTTCTCAATGGTGTGGCTCTGGATCGGCGTTTTCGTTTTGCGGGTGCTGCTGCCGTGCAAGTGCTGGTGCTGGTGCCGGATCGGCGTTTCGTTTTGCGGGCGCTGCTGCCGTGGTGGTGAGGTGCTGATGCTGGTGCTGGATCGGCATTTCGTTTTGCGGGCGCTGCTGCTGCTGGTGCTGGTGCCGGATCGGCGTTTCGTTTTGCGGGTGCTGCTGCCGTGCTGGTGCTGGTGCTGGCTCTGGATCGCCGTTCCGTTTTGTGGATGCCGCTGCCGTGCTGGTGCTGGTGCTGGCTCTGGATCGGCGCTTCGCTTTGCGGATGCTGGCTGTTTGTATAGTCCTGTCACGTAGAAAGACTCACGACTCACAATGGAACGGTTTATGGATGGTTCGTGGGTCGTGGTGACCTTTCAGCACCAGATCCAAGAAGGGGCCCAGTCAGACACGGCGGCTGTCAATTCCCTACAGCGGTTCACCTTTCCTTTTCCCTTCGTACGTCGTACGCCATCAGTCTCCTAACATGAAAGACGAGGATGAGATTGATGTGCAGCACCCGCAAAATGAACGCCGATCCAGCACCAGCACCAGCACCAGCACGGCAGCAGCGCCCGCAAAACGAAACGCCGATCCAGCACCA